GACCTAAGTTTACATATGGTTGCGTGGTTAGATGTTAAAGTCCAGTTGTTTGGTGTATTTGGTAACAATGAATTGTGACTCCGTCCGAGCACAACTATCGACTGAGAAAACAATATAACTTAGAAAGCTTGGTGTTATTTTTTTAGGCCCTTCCCGATATTAGAATCACCTCCCCATGCTGATATTTTCAAGAAGACACGTCCTTGACAAATGAATCACCAACTATATATATATATATATATATATATATATATATATATATATATATAAAAAATAAAAAAATGTTAATGATCAAGTCATGGTTATATATATATATATATATATATATATATATATATGAATGAAAGATAGAGAGAGAGATAATGATTTTATTGATTGATTCGTTTTCTACGTGTTATCAACACTTTGCAGGTTATTTGAAGCTAGAAAATGTTTTGAGATTGTAAGAATTCTTTTTGTAGGGGGGGATAATAATAATTTAGTGATATGACTTACTAATTAACCCATAGCTGGGGCGCGAAAAGGTGGAGTCATACCTTTGTCAAAGGCATTTACGCATAAGTGAATATAACGGACGCAACTGGAATTGGAACTCTGCTTTCTGATTAACAATTCCTACCCATTATCCATTACACCACCCGACACTGAAACCTCTTCCTCTAGAAATATAGCAAATTTGAAATTATATATATATATATATATATATATATATATATATATATATTTATAATCATTTGGTATAGCCCTCCGTTCCACCAAATGGACATAAATTCCTAACTTTAATTGAAAAACACTTTCCTACTAATAGTAGACTTAGTAAAATATTTAATAAAACACCCTAAAATTAAGTTACAGTTGCACTGAAAATCTAGAAAGTATAAATAAAAAAAAACACAATAATAAAATCCTGAATAATCCCCCATTGGAAAATAAATGCTGCGTTAAATCTGTGGTATACCAATGTATTATCTCATCCATTGAGAGTCCTAATACTAATATGATATACATTGGGTCTATGAAGAATGAATTTAAAACCAGATGGAGGCAGCATAAGTGCTCCTTCAACAATATTAAAAGAAATCAGACCTCTCTATCTAAATATTTTTGGCATTTGAAGGAAATGAATAAAGCACCAAAAGTAAAATGGAAAATTATAAACAAAACCAGAACTTGTAAAACTTGGGATGACCCATGCCCTTTATGCCTACATGAAAAACTACACATTATTAAGTTTCTAAATAATAAAAATTTATTAAACAATAGACAGGAGTTAACGGTTTTTTGCCGACATCATCAAATTTTCGCATTGAATAATTAGCATAAAAAACAAACAAACAATAAAATAATAAATACAAATTTTAAACTCCATAGTCTAAATAAAAATTTTAAATGGCCTACAAAAAAAACAAAAAAAAAACAAAAACAAACCCTTTTTGAAGTCGTCAAAAAAACAAAAACAAATGTTAGCGAATTATGACAGTTTTTTTTTTATATTCACAAAACCCTTTCCGGAAAAAAAAATAAAATAAAAAAATAAATAAATCTCCATAAAATAAATCTCCATAGACACTTAACCAGACTAGACGATGTCATCTTCAGCTTTGAATTTAGACACCCCAACCTTACCCTGATATCTCAGTCGGGGGTAAAATTGGCTGATTACATTCAATACCTCGAAAACCAAACAAGTTACATTCTATCATTGACGATAGAACATCACCAATCACGATGACTGGATGTTCCCTCAGGAAGTCCCCGTTCCTTGAGCGACTTGTTGGACCCAACCCAAACCTGTGGAGCTCGTACATACGAAACACCGCTAAAGATGCTGAAAAATGGTCGGGCCCCATTACCTGACTCCTCCTGCTATCTTCTACCTTTACAAGAACCGGATCAGGCCTAAAATAGATGACTGCTGCCATATATGGACAGGAGCTGCCAAGTCTTTAATTTACAGTCATGATAGAGTCCAAAAGCGTCCTTCTGGGCAACACATTTTTTTTAACCATACAACCGCTTTCTCAAAGACGAGATGTTGCAGGCATATCGCCGTTCTATCGTTATTTCAAGGGAAAGTTCTCAGACAAACTGCATTCTTTAGTTCCAACAGTTCTGACATTCACGGCTAAGGCATGCCATGCTATGCCCATTTTAGCGTACCAATCTCACTTCTTTCGTATTCCATTGATAATATGTAAGTTCCAACCGAACAGCTTCTTTCTGAGAACTGCTTCCCTGTGGAACCGACTCCTAAGATCTTTTTTTTCGATCACTGCAATCTTAACCTGTTCAAGTCTAGGGTTAACCGTTATCTTCACATATCCGCATAAACTGTTTCACTTACTCTGTAACCCTCTACCTCGAGTGGCTCCAAGGCCAGGAACAGGGTGAATATTACCGTAAAAAAATTACAATAGTTATTTTTAAGCTTGACTCAGTTTTCCACATGGGCTCAATTTTTATACAATGGTTGATGTCCTTAAGCAGTGAAAGCTGAATAGGAAATTACTCTTAACTTAGAGTTTGTCGAATGGATATCTTAAAAGATTGGAGCCCAATGAAGATCAAATTAATGAATACATGGTTTGTTGTATTAAATTGTTTAAATCATTATCTCGCGGCAAGGAAAGGTGATAAGAATAGTGAATTATTCGTGAGGATTGAACCCCGGGAGTAATAAGATCATAATGGTGAAATATCCGTGAATATTTAACTAGGACAGCGATAAGACCGTAGTTGTGAAATATCCTACAGATCTGAGCAATGTCAGAGAGTGATGTGACCATAGACGTGAAGTATCCGTGAAAATTAAACTCAGCGAAAACTTAATGTCATGAAAATGTCGTGCATATTGAAACTCAGCTACGAATTCTACTCAGATTTGATCTCAGAAAAGCGATAAGATCATATTCGTGAAATATATGTGATAATTTAACTCAAAAAGCGAAAACATCCCAGTCTTAAAATAACCGTGAATATTGAACACAGAAGGCGATAAAATCATTGTCGTAAAATTTTCCCTGAGAATTGAACTCAAGAAAAGAACAGTCGGGATATATTAACGATAATTGAAATTAGTATACATGAGACTGGATCGTTAACCAGTACTCCAAAGCGAGACTCACTAGTTATCTGCTAGGCCTCGGCGAGGATAAGGCATATTCATAAGTTGATAGTATTCAGTGACGATCGAGCTCCTTATCCACTAGTAATAATCTACATGACTAGGTCGGTAATGACAGTGAGGTGCATTTGTTATTACCTAAGCGTACCTCTATTTGTAACATGATCATATCAGTGGAACATCTATGGGGCTTCCAAATCAGTATGGTCGCGAAATGGTTTAGGAGACTAATTTGCGAACCACTGTGCCACGGTAAGCACCCTTAATATATTTTTTTAATTTATGGTGCAGGTCAATAACCGCATAGGTATGTAAGCTATTATCACTCTTATTTGATGTGCGTGGGTGTCTTTTCATTTTGAAATGTTTTTTTTTTTTTTCATGAACGGACCTGTTTATTTGTTCCTTTAAATACGCATCGGCGTGGACATCGACCCTCTTCTCTATCCCTGTCACCTGTCAAAAACACCCCCGTCACCCGATCCACCCGCCCATCAGTCCACCTCCTTTGGCGAAGGGCCTTGTCTTCTCGTCAGCGCACGCACGGACTTTCTCACGCTCACTAGTAGACGCACACGCAATTTGCGTGGTTTCTTTCAATTCGTGAATGCCTACGAGCAGATGCGTGTGGGGTACAACCCGCTGCCTGGCGGCTGGGATAGTTGCGTATTATCCGCTGGTTCTAGCGTCCGTGGCTGGAGCTCAGGTAAGAGCCAGAACGGCGAATGATGATCTACCAGGCTAGCAAGATTTATCGGCTTGTTTAATTGACATATCGCAGCCAAGCTCTCCTCAGATGTCCCGGAGACTATATAAACCATAAAAGATGTCTATTTTAATTAAGAGTATCCACTAATAATATCGTTTGTAGTAATATATATATATATATATATATATATATATATATATATATATATATTATTCCTTTATATAATTTTATCATATAGACAAAACAATTTTACTCACTACAAAGACGCAACTTGGTTTCAGTGCATTTCAACTGCACTTCGACGGGTGAGAATCGAAAATGGTTATGAACAATCCTGCTTGTATGCAAGCCATGTGTGAAACGTCACTTCCTTTTTCCATTTGTTTGAGAAGAATATATATATATATATATATATATATATATATATATATATATATATATATATATAGGTGTTTTCGTCTCCGTGATAATGGCTAAAAGAATATTTAAACCATTTTCGCCGGTCATATAAAAAAATTCGGACAATTTTCTTCATAATATCGAAAAATTAAAAAAAAATATATGAAAGCACAAGAAAAGTTTACTAAAAAACTTAACCGTAGATACTTGTCAGTCGTTTTTAACGACATATATATATATATATATATATATATATATATATATATATATATATATATATATACTTTTATGGTCTGTTACATTTATAGGAAATAAGTACTTAATATGCGGTACTGATATGTGAATACAGAGACCTAAACCGAGTGGTGAGAGTCTGTTTTTCATGCTTGAACGCAATCTTCAGCCCATAAAGTTTGCGTTTAATCAAATACATATATATATATATACATACTAATAATCAATATATATGTTTGAGGAACAAATATATATTTATTAGTAGTATAGATTTTACCTCTGTTATAGATTTTACCTCTGTTATTTTACATCGAGCACTGTTTTATTACCACCAGCACACTGTGCGCTATTATATATATATATATATATATATATATATATATATATATATATATATATATAGAGAGAGAGAGAGAGAGAGAGAGAGAGAGAGACAGATAGATAGATAGATAGATAGATAGATAGATATAGATATAGATAGATAAAAACCAACAAAAAATGACACAAACACCCAGGTGAACTACGCCCATAGAAGAGAGAAAAAAAATTAAAGATCGTGCGATAAACGTATCCTAACGTAAATGGACACAAAATGCTTCGCAAACCATACAAGGAAATCTGATACCAAAAACACTTTGGTTATGGCAGAAATGAAATCCAGAAGTATCCAAGAAATGTAACTTTGCCCTAACAATAGGTTTCATGCAATGAAGATATAATCAGATTGTTCTTTGAATATATATATATATATATATATATATATATATATATATATATATATATATATATATATATATATACTAAAGGGGAAAAATAAAGAAATATATAAACAAATAAGAAAAAATTCTGCAATAAAATTCACTCACTTTTATTATATTACATCACTTATCATTCCCTACAGTTTACCTTGACTGCTGACAACATGTCAGCTTGGATACTGTGAATTTCATGCCTTAAGATCAATTTTGAGTGTTCTTAAATTAAACAGTTTTGAAAACTTTTTTACTTTTTTTTATACATACTTGTTGCAAAATAAAATCCTTTCATTTTCCTTAATAATATCTATTAGAAGACGAAACGCATTGGTAAAGAATAGTTTTCCTGTTGTTTTTATTCCTATTGTCGTTCCTACTCCTTCCTTTATATTTATTCATTAATCAGTGTGTAATATGTCTAGCGACCTGCGTATTTGAGAAATCTAAGTTAAGAAAATGTATCCTCCGGTAAGGATTGAACTAGTAGGCACATTTTTTTTTCATATAGATTTCTCGCATGCGGAAGCCTATTGGCGTATTACATACTGCCTATTTACAGATTGTAAATAGGCAGTATGTACATAATCGGCCAATTTAGAGATTGTAAATATATAAATATATATATATATATATATATATATATATATATATATATATATATATATATATATATATATGACTTCATTTTAAGCGCGTCTGACGATCGATTATGTCAAAGAAAGGACGGGGATTGTTTCACATGCGCAATCATCTTGAAACTTTTAGTTACGCATTTGCTTATCAAGTTTTAATAAGATCTAAAAACATTACATTGCCCTGTATGAGACTATATCCTCGGCATATTGAGCCCTTTATAGAACAAAATAAAATAACCTTCATTTAATTGGAATTACATTTCAGTTAAAAGTTCATAATGTGCACAATACATACATATATATATATATATATATATATATATATATATATATATATATATATATATATATATACGCTCCAAAAACAATAACACATTTCTCATAGCATTTTTCGGATTACAATACATCTATTTTCGTTGTCCTCTTATTACTGAGAGTAAAACAAGAACAAAATCTATTCCATACCTGAGGATGTCTGTAAGAACAGACGAAAGCTTGTAAAATAATAAGAACTCATGCAAAAGAAATTTATAAAACAAGGATCTTTTCATACATAAACAGGTTCGGTGTTTTTGTATATTATTTGAATTGTTCGCGATGATGGATTTCTCGCCAATTAAATCATTAACCTTTGTATTTGTTTTTTGTATGAATAATTCATGAATTTGTAAATTAATTGCAACTTTATTGAAATATATATATATATATATATATATATATATATATATATATATATATATATATACAGCGTGACCCAAAAAAATGGGAACTTTTTTAACAATCCAATAAAATCAAGAGTGATGGAAGAAAAATATTTTATTCATAGTAATTGAAACCTTAAAACATGCCATTTAAGAAACAATGATGGAATTTTCATTTTTTTTTATTATGTCCTGTAGATGGCGTCCTACTGTACGAATGCATTCTTGAAATCTGCTGTTGAGATTCCTCATTGACTGCTGCAACATGTCAGCTTGGATACTGTGAATTTCATCTTGAATTCTAAATGGCGAAATGTTTACTTGCTCAAGGTCACTGTCTCGCAATGTCTGGCAATACGCACTTCAAAAATTCCTGTTTTTTGGGGTCACCCTATATATATATATATATATATATATATATATATATATATATATATATATATATATATATATATCCACGTTTTACTAGTTTGTAACTGGAAGGGATAATTCCGAGGAGGATATAAGTCCAGGGGAGAACTGAATGTAGACTACAGAGCATCATCAGAACAAAAAACTGCTCCGGTTTTCACTCTCTCTCTCTCTCTCTCTCTCTATATATATATATATATATATATATATATATATATATATATATATATATATATATATATATATATATATAGAGAGAGAGAGAAGAGAAGTTTTATTATTTGTACAAGTGATTACTTTTTTTTATACTAATGTTTTTTTTTACCCAATACAAGGCCCAAGAGCTACTCAAGGTAGAGGGTTACTGTGTAGACATATATTAGCGTAGGAATGAAAAAGTGTCAGGGGTACAGAGCTGAATCAGCCTTTAGAAGGAACCGGAAGCCGAATCCTAAACAGGAAACAAAGGATAAACCTCTACTCCTGTTCAAAAGACCGGTTAGGTGTGTGGACTGGACGATAGGCAATGTTTTAAAAGTAAAAACATAAAACACAAACAAAAAACATAATCGTTTATCCAAGCGTGTTCATAACGACAAGGCGTGGTTCAATGGTTAACGAGGCTACGTTGGTTAACCTTTAATATTTGGTTCGATCCACATGGTGGTCCATACAAAATTAGATATTAAATTGTTGGTTGGCTTATTTTATTTAGCGGCACATCAACCTCTATGTATTATTTAATACCGAAATCTAAGTATTCTGAACATGATTTTATGGCTTCTGTGTAGAAGGTTTTTAGAGATATAGTTTTTAGATCATGAAAAATACTGCTGGTAATTTCACTACAAAATATATAGTGTTGGTAATGCTTTCATAAAAAAACTGGATTGCTTTTATGTTTGTTGCGACCAACTAAATGGTTAAAGATATAACAAAACAAGTGTTGTAGATACATCATATATTAAACAGTAAGTACAAGAGAAGAGTATTACACGACTAGTGAGTGTGTGTTGGTTGACCCAGCGTTCGATGTTTTCGACTGTTAATATTTAACAGACCCCCACAAGTGGCACAAGGCCGGTTTATTGTGGGTTCTCTGAGCCCGTAGGCTCGGCCCCAAAATATTCCCTTTGAAGCCGTATAAACGGGTTCAGGGACTGTCTACCTCCCCGGACGAAACTTTGCCGCAGTTGGACAGTTGAACAATCTATGCGACTGTTATATTTAACAGTCCCCCCACAAGGAATGTATGTGGCACAACGCCGTGTTTAACGTGAGCTTCTCCGAACCCGTAGGCTCAGCCAAAAATATTCCCTTTGAATGCGCCTAGACGGGTTCAGGGACTGTCTACCTCCTCGGGCGAAACTTTGCCCTGCGGCAAAGCCTCGTCCAAATTCCTCTCTGCCGAGGCAGAGAGTTCAACAGAGATGAACAGTCTGGTCGACTGTTCCCCCAAGACCTTTTCTCCTACTAATCTTATAGTAGGCGGAAGAGTCCAACATAGACTCTTTAGAGGGAGGACACCACAACAATTTTTATACTTTTTTAGTATTTTTAGTCTTTTTTTATTTTTTAGTCTTGATTGTCATTTTGCTGTAAAAATATACTTTTGGTCATTTTACTATAAAAATGACCTTCTGGATTTTTGTTGTGGAGAGGGAAATTATTTGCCCATAGCTTGAACCCTAACAGGTGTTACCACCCCGGTTCAGGATGGACCTGGGAACAACAGCAATTAATTTGTGGTTCAATTCTCCTCAAAACCTCCACTCTCCCGATCAGAGGTTTTGCTACCGGATGTAGTTTATCGTCATACCCAGGACGAAGTTATTAAATAGCCCAACAAGTGATAACAAGATGTATACTCAACCGACCTAAACAAATTACCATAATCCTGTGTATATAAGACGCAGATTTTTTTCATCCAAAATCATGTCTTAAAGTTTGCTGCGTCCTATACTTTAGTATAGAAATTAATCTCAGTTTTCTAGGATTTAAGACGGACAAAATCTGGTCAAATCGAATTTATTTGTTAACCGGAGAGATAATAATATGTACCTAATAGTATATTGCAACAAAGGGGAATAAATCTTTAATACTGTTTATCTAAGTCCCGTACTGTTCTGTACATTTTTTCCAGATTTTGTTCAATCTAAACACCTATATGAATTTGGAAATCATCCAAATTATTATTTAATTTACGAGAAAAAAGAAAGTACAAAATGATGCATGATTTCAAAATAAAAATAATCAAAAACAGTTTTGTATTGAAAGACAATTAATGAATGTTTCACAATAAACAACTTTAGTAAGTTTTGTAAACAACCAATTACCGACTTTTTCGTAATTCTTACGAATTACAAAAGTAAATAAAATTTCCCATTTTTTTTTCTCTTCCTTTTTCACAAGTTTTGGTCATTTTATGGTTAATTTACAGTTTAGCACCTGCACCCAGCTCGTATTAAAAATTTCCAGAATTCTTACATTTGTGTCTAATTGTACATGCTTCATTCGAATCTGGTTTGAGATATTTGATAAAATCTATCGTTTGGGACTTATCGACAGTAAAAGTTCGGATTCATTCGCGTCGCGACAGCCATTACTGATGTTGTTTACATACATTTGCTGCAGAATAGCTATGAGGAATATTCACTTGTCTTGATTATTGCGCACGCAGCGCACAATTGAATGAGGGTACGTAAATAGTTTTATTGCGTAGTAATTGAAACAAGTTGAGACAAGTAAGATCAGTAAAAAAAATGCACGTTAACTACATTCTTCCGCGTTTAGCTTTCTGCAGCGAATGTATACAAACAACGACGGTAATGGCTGCTGCCAACGACGCGAATGAATCCGGACTTTTACTGTCGATAACTCCAAAACGGTAGATTTTATCAAGCCAGAATCGAATGAAGCCTGTACAATTACACATAAATGTAAGTATTCTGGAAATTTTAATGCGATCTGAGCGCGGGAACTAAACTGCAAATTAAGCTATTTTCTTTGCTCTAAAATTAGGTGCATTTTATACATGAAAATAAGCTTTTTCCTTGGAATTTCTCTGTTGTTTAAACTGCATCCTAGACTCTATAACGAGAGCACTTTGACGTGGTGTAATGGTTAGCAAGCTTATCTCGCTATCTTAATTACGACTGAGTAATGACATCGTTCCTCACTGGGTGCTCTATGGTTTCGGCCTTCTTTTACTCGTATTTTGTCTTTTTTTTTCGCAACATGAGACAAGCAGGAAGAGTGACCGTTATCAACACGCAAAGTGGAATCGGAAAACCGAGTTCAAATTCAAACCTCGTCTATTGTGTTTACTTTGCACTGATGCCATTGAAAAAGTCACGACCTATCTTTTCTTCTCCCCTCCCAGTTCGGGTTAAATATCAAGAATGACAAGAGAGGGACTACTCTGAATTGAAATCCGTGGAGAAGGCTATGGGAAACCACTCCCCTAATTTTTCAAAAGAAGTCATGGCAATTCCCCAATAATAAAGAAAAGGAATTTGTGGAGGGCTATGATCCTCTTTGTCGTGAACGGGCGTAGCATAAGAAATGTAATTATTATCACTATACACTCTAAATTATTATTATTGTTGTGTTGTACATTGACACTGGAAAATCTATTTTTAAGGAATGGTATCAACAAGACTTCTCACAACTCAATAAAAATTTTCTGAGAATCGTCGCAGAACAAAAGATGGCAGATTTTTTGGATGTCTACAATGTTAGTCTGAGTTTTGAGTTTCCCCCCAATTTTTTTTAGTTTTCTTGTTGGTTTTTCAAGCGCAGCCATTGCTACAGGAATTAGTTCTATATTCATGTTCCATATCTTCTTCAGTTCCTTATCCAGATCCTGTTATTTTTCTATCTTTTCAGTTTCTTTGGAACTCACTCTTGTATCATATCGAACAGCAAAATCAATAATTTGATAGTTGGTATTCTTATCCATAACAATACGGTTGGATCTTCATGCTTCGATGATATGATCTGCCTGGACTGAGAAATCCTATAATATTTTGTAACTGTCATTTTATACTACTGCCTCTAGCTGATGTTCATACCACTTCTCTTTTATACTGAAGCCAAACTTACGGCCTAATTCCGAATGCATTTTCTTACCATTGTAATTATGTCGTTGCCTAAACTCCTTCTCTACTTATTATATATTATTTACTAGAAATATTCGTGAAAATTTCACTGTTTTCCAATTTAAAGTCTCTGATGAATCTTAATTCAGAGTCTGTCTATATTTCTGAGATGAGGTATTATGTACAGTATTTACATTAGTCGGAACATTAGGTTTATAATACCCAGAAATTCATGCCCAGATGTCCTCAAGGACACATGGCACAGTGGATAAAGGCGTTGGTTAGATCCAGTGATAGACAGTGAGTTCAATACCCGGTTAAGGCAGTGGAGAACTTTCAGAGGGAAAATTAGCAGGTGATAACTGATAACTGACATCCATCAAACATGGCACGAAAGTGATCGAAATAAAGGGTTCAGTTCGAAATTCCAACCACCTGAAGAAGGCCGGAGCGTGACAAATATGGCGACAATGAGGACAATAGTCCGACTAATGTAATTACTGAATCTTAATTTTTAAGGTAATGATTGGATAAGCACATATCGGTAGAAATTTCTCCTATCGTTAAATATTTGAACTTAACAACTTTAACAAAATATTGCAATTAACAATCATAAATGTGAAATGGTCGTTTTTTTAAGAAGTAAGGGGGTACAAATGAAAAGATCCTCTCACTGAAACAGACTTTAAACTCTTTCTTTTTCTCACCGAAACCAAATAACGTCTCTGGTATGTCTTTTCCGTTTTTCCACTCGATCAAAACGGAATAATTCATTATTTATAATATCTACTACTATTATCTTTACCCATACTATCTTAGAGCAGCTGGGGTTAGCCCCCCATATCATTGTAACTATTATTTTATATCTAGTTTTAATCCATCTTTTATCGCAGTAAAAAATATATTCAGCATAACTTAATATTACGCTTTTATTTTATTTACTTTTATTTGATGATATATTTTTATTAAATAATGTTTAATATTGACATTTTCCAAAATATCTTTATGAAACGTTAGCGGCCCACGCAGAGAAAGGCAAATGATGACATTAAATGTTTCCTATAATGACATGAGAAACTTCTTGCTCACACAGGCTGGCATTGTTAACCGCGGATAATCAAGAACTGGAATTAACATGCCGGTTTTTATAACACATTCGGGAAAGTAAAATGAGAGAGAGCAGACGACAGGTAGAGACACGTTTTCTAACAAAAGATCGTCGTGTCCGGACAAATAGATATGGGGGGCTGGTTATTTGACAGATAAAGGTTCGGAGAGGTCCATAGGAATCCAGCTTGTGAGAAAATATTTAAAATGATATTGTTTGTTTGTGCGTGCGTGTGGATGTGTGTTTGTACACGTGTGTGTGAGAGAGAGAAAAGGACAGACAGAGGAAGAGAGATAGAGGGGAGAATACAATAAATTGTTTTGATAATAGAACTGCGTAAGTTACGTGTCATTTATGAATTAAACAAAACGTTACTGAGTCGGTTGGTGGGGCTAGTCATCCTAACATTATGGGAGAAGGTTTTACGTTATTTTTTTTAAAGAAAATATCTTAGTAAGGTGTTACATTTTATGTTTTATTTATGTTTTAACATTTTTAGAAACCGAAGTTATTTTGGAACTTGAAGGAGATGCATCTGGAATCCTAACAATTACCTTGTAAAATATATTTGTATTTTTTCTTATGTATGGTTGATTATATTTTTATTATTTAACGTGGCTTGCCCTTCCTCTTTGCTAGTTCCTTAGTTATTTCGTACGATAATTACGCTCAGCCAATACCTCATAAATAATGGACATTTCGTTTGGTCGCATGAAAACAAGGACCTGACACTACTTGATATCAGTGAGGGAAAGAAAGATACAATAATGGAAGGATTGGAAGGAACTAGAAAGAAAGAAAGAAAGAAAGAAAGAAAGAAAGAAAGAAAGAAAGAATGAATGGTGGAAGGAACTAGAAAGAAAGAAAGAAAGAAAGAATAATGGAATGATTGGAAGGAACTAGAATGAAAGGATACAATAATGGAAGGATTGAAAGAAAGAAAGAAAGAAAGAAAGAAAGAAAGAAAGAAAGAAAGAAAGAAAGAAAGAAAGTTACAATACTGGAAGGACTAGAAAGAAAGAAATAAATAAAGAAAGAAAAAGACAATAATGGAAGGAGTTGAAAGAAAGAAAGAAAGAAAGAAAGAAAGAAAGATACAATAATGGAAAGAACTACAAAGAAAGAAAGATACATAAAAATAAAAGGATTGGTAGGAAGAAAGAAAGAAAGAAAGAAAGAAAGAAAGAAAAAATAATGGAAGGAAGTACAAAGAAAGAAAGATACATAGTAATAATAGAAGGATTGGTAGAAAGAAAGAAAGAAAGAAAGAAAGAAAGAAAGAAAGAAAGAAAGAAAGAAAATGTTAAAATGTTTGCTTCCGGGAAGTGTAAAAAGTTGTCAAGTCTTTTCATTTGTACACCTTTACTTGTAAATATATTTATTAATAAAAATTTTTGCAAGGCAGATTTTTGGCTAGTACAAATAAATGTTTCGACAGCAACGAAAACAAAATGAAAAATTCTTGCTTAGAGTTATTTTCTAAAATTTATAATATTATCTCGAGATACTATTATTTATTACTTTCTATTATTTAGCATGTAAACGGTTGTAATAACAATAATAATAATCCGAGACGAAGGTGAGCCTTTAAGTCGAAGGCCACTGGCTGTAGTCTGACCTGGAGTTTGATAGATTGCCACAGGGCTACGCATGAATGAATCCCTACATACGATTGAAAATTTAATTTTAAGCTGTTTAAAATCGTGACCTAAATCAGAAAATACAATGAGGATACTGTTTTTGTTTCGAATGTTTTAATTACATTTTTTTTAAATATTCTTTAGAATATTGGGTTGTGAAAAAAAAGTCCATATTCAGATTATTTAAACTTTAAATCAGTTAATCTTCCTCAAATAAAGTTTCAGAAAAGTATATTTTATTTTTGAAAGATTTTTTTAAATAAAGATAATTATGTCGGGTTGACAGATTTGTCAATATGGACGATTTTGTTGATTTTACTGATGATAAGAACAATCAGTTCAATCAATTTAGATTCGGTTTGAAATATAGAAAAGTATTATTTAAGACTAAAATAAAAGGTTCAAGAAAGATTTTCATTCTTCAAAACGGCATTTTAAAGATTAGGTATCGCTCTTCTTTTTGGGTACCTATATTTAATGAAATAAAATGTAACGGTGCTTGATGTTTGAACAATAAAGTTGATAAACAAAAAAGGAATTTTTTATGACTTTTAAACCTTAGATAACGATTTTCTAGGCGGTAATTATACTAAAGTTATATATTTATCTCTCTCTCTCTCTATATATATATATATATATATATATATATATATATATATATATACGATAAAAATATAGTTTTAAGGTGTGCTATATTTATGGGTTAAAGTTCTCAATATCAGGGCCACAGTGTTCATAAATATAAAAGTACACATTGAAGTCAACACCCAGCGGCGACAGTCTGTTTCTTACTTATATGCAGTCGTCAGGTTTGGTGTTGACTCAATATCTAATTATATACTTGAGAAACGTCGTTTCAGGCACTACATACACACACGCGCGCACGTGCACACACACACATATATATATATATATTAGATTCTGCACTTTTCGTTTAAATATTTTCCTTCTTTCATTCCTTCGGTCTTTCGTTGCTTGCTTTGTTTATTTAATCATCACTAATGTTTCTTCTCTCTACCCGCCTAAACACCCGCCTGGTAGGCCACGTGGCGTTCTTTGCTTTCTTCTCCTTGGTCAGTTTACCCGATGTAGTGTAATCCTGCTTTTCCAGTTGCCATTAATGAAGGCATATGACTTAAAAGATAAATCTGGTTACGCCCTGAGGGTTCTTCCGCGCAATTCAT